CACAAGTGAGGGGCCTAGGAGTCGACCTCTGTCCCCCTGCCAATACAGACTGCGTACGGTCGGTGAGGAAGGAGGAGAACCACCGCATAACGGTGCCTCCCACTCCTAACCCACCGAGACGCCGCAGCATGATACCGTGGTCTACAGTATCAAAAGCCGCTGAGAGGTCCAAAAGAACAAGGACAGAGGAATAGCCTCTTTCCCGGGCCCTCCAGAGATCATTAACCAACGCGACCAATGCCGTTTCCGTGCTGTGTCCCGGCCTGAAGCCCGACTGTATTACCTCCTATACAAAAGCAATCCAAAGCTGCACATATCTTAGTTTTCCTCATACTGCATAGTGTTTATGTTTGGAATGTGGTTAAAGCAGATACACTGGTTTTCTTAGCCAATAACCAACTTTAAGAATAAGTCCAGTGTGATACTATAAGCTAATGACATGAGGACAGAAGAATGGAGAATCAATCAATAAATATAATAAAACAGACCAAATAATTACTCCTGTTCTGTGTACAGTAATTAGCAGTCTTTTTACATAAACATACTTGTGCTGATCATCGTTACAAAGTATTTTAAAGCTTTCCTTAATATAAATATTAGACATTTTAGTAAATATGTTAAAGAAAGAAAAAAGGAAAACACAAGATACCCTTCATCTCAGTGCTTCATCCAAGGAAATCTCAGCTACAGAAAGTTCCTTTGATTTGAAAAATATGGAGACTGAGCAGATGGTCCCTGTCATTTTGGAAACAAAATCTAATTCTCACTCAAAGAGCCGAGGTCAGTCATATGATTTATTCTCAAATATTGAATTATTGCATAATCATCTTTGAAGGACTGTATACTATGTGGGATAAGAAGACTGGAAACAGCATCTCTATATAAAGTATTTGTTCATTTGTTTATACTGTGAATATACAAAAAATGTTGCCTAAGCTTCTCAGTGTCATAAATAATTTTCATATTGAGAGAAGAAACATTCTTTTCTAAAAATATATAACTAAGAAATCTGTCTCTGTGAACTACACTGTCATCACATAGACATTTCAGTACATAACTCTCCAATGAATTTCAGCATCTGGAATCTCTAGAAAGGGAACAAAATTACCATAGGCACTTCCACAAATAACTAGTACAGGGATTCATAGGAAGTAACAAAATAGTTACATAAGTCATAAACCTCTATCTTGAAGGGCATTGCCTCTTGGTGAAATTTCCCGAACAAAATGTATGATAATGGCAAACTGGCTGCTGCAAGACATCTCAGACAAATCATAAAATGATTATATTGGGACAGCCAATCACAAGATATTTATGAATATAAGATTGTACCTGTGTCTCATGCCAAATGCTAAACCATTTATTTGTTTCTATAACACATTATAAATTACCAAAGAAACTAGGGATCTTTCACAACGCTTTCTCGAATGTAGACAGAAACAAAAACTACACACAGACAAACAATATGGACCTGGGAGATATATCAAGAAAGCAAGAAAGCACCGTAGTAAGAGGTTCTAGCCTCTTTTTTTTTTAAGAATATTTGTCCAGGATAAATTGATTTTACTATAAACATAAATTATTTAAGGTGATAGAGCCACGGCTGCAAGAAGAAAATACATTTGTTTTTATATTGGTAGTTGCTGAGGCCAAATTTATATAAATATTTTGTGGTCTAAAATCAGCAATTAATAGTGTAGCACTTGCAGTGCCATGTTTACCATCACACCTCTAAATGATTCTTGATACAACCAGAACTTTTGTATAAATATGCCAGCATGTCAGTATTCTTAGAAACTCTCAGGGTGAGTCTGCCAGAATGTTGCAAGATTAGGTATTCTTACAACATTTGGGGAGGACCAGTTGGTTAGTTTGGAAGAAATGGGTAAATTGTCTGGCGCATATAATTTAAATAACTTGGTGCCACTCGCTAACATCTGTTGACTCATATGAGGGACAACCCTGCTGAATGGTAACATGGAGGCCCAGTCACACTTAGTTTTATTTTTAAGTAAATTCAAAATAATTAATTTCACAAATTTCAGTTACTTTGGTTGCAAACCTTTATTAATTAAAAGTTTTAATTTGTCCTATAAGACACAATTACTTGAAGACTTATTTTTGGTTTATTTTTTTTATAACCAGTACATATTAATGAGTATAGTACAGCAATTTATCATAGGACTATAGATTTTAGAGTAATATTTTTTTAGTATTTTTTTATCCCACCCTTATTATTTTTATAAATAACTCAAGGCAGTGACCTTCCTTCTCCTCCTATTTTTCCCACAACTGCAATCCTGTGATGAGAGTTGGGCTGAGAGAGTGACTGGTGAACAATTTTGTAATTATGTAGTATTTTGATTAATAAAAGTGTTGCCACTGGACTCCTCCTGAAAGATAATAATAATAATAATAATAATAATAATAATAATAATAATAATAATAATAATAATAATAATAATAATAATAATAATAATAATAATAAAGTTGGAAGGGACCTTGGAGGTCATCTAGTCCAACCCCCTGCTCAGGCAGGAAATGCTATACCATTTCAGACAAATGGCTGTCCAGTCTCTTCTTAAACACTTCCAGTGTTGGAGCATTCCACTGATTAATTGTTCTAACTGTCAGGAAATTTCTCCTTAGTTCTAGGTTGCTTCTCTCCTTGATTAGTTTCCATCCATTGTTTCTTGTCCTGCCTTCAAGTGCTTTGGAGAATAGCTTGACTCCTTCTTTGTGGCAGCCCCTGAGATATTGGAACACTGCTATCATGTCATCCCTCGTCCTTCTCTTCATTAAATTAGACATACCCAATTCCAGCAACCGTTCTTTACATGTTTTAGCCTCCAGTCCCCTAATCATCTTTGTTGCTCTTCTCTGTACTCTTTCTAGAATCTCAACATCTTTTTTATATCGTGGTGACCAAAACTGGATGCAGTATTCCAAGTGTGGCCTTACCAAGGCATTGCAAAGTGGTATTAACACTTCACGTGATCTTGATTCTATCCCTCTGTTAATGCAGCCTAGTACTGTGTTGGCTTTTTTGGCAGCTGCAGCACACTGCTGGTTCATATTTAAGTGATTGCAGCACACTGCTGGCTCATATTTAAGTGATTGTTCATTAGGAGTCCAAGATCCCTCTCACAGTTACTACTATTGAGCAAGGTACCACCTATACTATACCTGTGCTTTTGGCTTTTCTTGCCTAAATGTAGAACTTTACTTTTTTCACCATTGAATTTCATTTTGTTAGATAGCTCCCAATGTTCAAGTCTCTCAAGATCCTTCTGTATCTTAAGCCTATTTTCTGGAGTGTTGGCTATTCTTGCCAGCTTGGTGTTGTCTGCAAATTTGATGAGTTCCCCATCTATCCATACTCATCCCTATCCAGTTCTTATTTAACTATGGACAACAGTCTGACACAAATCTGTTTTAAAGAAAACTTTTTAGTTCAATAAGATTTACCTTTAATGAAGTCCAAAAGTATTCAAAAGAATATATTATTTGACCAATTGACATGAACAGACAAATATTTGTTACCATCAAAGTTCAGAGATTAAAAAACTATAACAAAAAACAGCTAAAGATTGTGAAATAAAAATAGGATAATACAGGCAATTGGAATAGTTTGAATAATAGTATACTAAAACTACACTTGTGGGAGACCTTCTCTGCATTATTAAAAAGTGTTATATGACTGTCCTGATTAACCAAAGAAGAAAAAAAATTGAAGAGTTCCAAAAACCACTATTTTAAAACACCCATTATACAAATCCTGTTTGTTTTAATAACCTATTCATGCATTAGTACAATATTGAGGAACTTATTTGTGTTGCAGAGATGGTTGATTTAGCTTAAATTAAACTACATATTCTAGCCCTAGTGTGTTGTTTCAATACTTGCTTCTATAGTCCATATGTCATGAAACGTTGTCTGGCAAAAGTAAATAATTGCTGCTGCTTTGTGGATTGCTCTTGAGAGAAGCTGTGTATTGTTATAGCTTTCTTTTCTCCTTTCTTCATTCTCATACTCATTCTCCAAAATACAGAAGTTCTTTTTAGAAAATAATATAGGCAAGGTCCCAATGTTTTCCTATTCTACGGCCCTCTCATCACTGAACTTTGGGACCATCCTTACCATCCTTAAACAGGAGGATTACCTACCTGATTCTATCACAATATTGATCAGAAATGCAATCTTGGATTTATACGGTATTTATTAATGTATGTAGTAAAAAGGAGAAAGATGCATTCAGTGATACCTCTGAGACAGCAGCTATTTAAACATATAACATTGTACGTTGTAGCAGGATTACAGTAGCGTCTGCAAGCAACAAGGAGGTATATATTTGATTTAATTTGGATTCCTACACTGAGCATGAATTCGGATTTAATGGCTTCTTCCAACTCCTTGATTCTGTGATTATATTGTGATGTGACAATGAATTAGGATAAAGATTATCTCTCCAATAATAAAAATCTGTGACGTAGAAGTAAATCTGGATCCACAAATATCAGAATTTGTGAGACTCAGAAGTAGAATGTTATGACTTTCTTTGGGAATATAAATATTTTTTTGAAATATGGAAAAACCAATGTTGGAATTGAGGTTTTCTAGACAGAAATATTTTTGGCTTTTAGCAGGTTTATTTAATTAACCAGATATTGGTTCAAAATTATTTACAGATGTAAGATCTATCTCAGTATCTTCATGTGAAAAAAGGATTAAAAAGGATAGTATGATCAGTAGTTTCCATACTGTATTCTGTACCTTTTTTATCTTAACCAAAATAGACAAAAGAATTCAGATAGCTATGCAGGTATTAGAAAAAAAATATATTTTATTAGCAAAGTATGCTTTGCTTAAAAATCCTGATATTCAATGAGCTATTTTGTCAATAAATAAATAAGTAAAAATAAACATTTGCGTAAGCAACGTGCTAAAATGTCACATTTTGCTATTCATAATACATTTTCTTATTTCTTCTTTAGGAATTCCCCTGGCCTTCCCGCCCCACCCCACCCCCCACTGAAAACTACCCAGATGCAGGGAAAAAAATTGTCTAACACTCCAGCAAAATTGGCCAAAGCCAAACACACTATGTTATAGCTTAGTATAAGGTTCTTGACTACATAGAAATGTGAGCACAAATACTGAATGTTAGATTGAAATTTTTTTATTGATTTGGTAAAAAGTATGATAGAATATACATTCTGACATTACAACTCTAAAAGGAGACACTGACGTAATATTTAAGCACCCTTAGCATTCTGTTGTATTGGCAATGATGCCCAGCCTGGTTCTTGCCATTTTCCTTAATACCTGTTTTGGGATACTGATCTTGTTTTGGATACGGATCTGATATTATTTTGTTTTGTTTCAATGTGTCTGCTGAAAAGTTTGCACAAGTAGCTTGAAACTACCCACTCAATGGCAAAAGATTAATTAAAACACAATTGAAACAGTGTAGGTTTTTTTCTGTTCTCCATTAACTTATGCTCCATTAATTTCTTGAAAAGGAGGTCATGAAAAAATATAAATCAAGATGACATTTCCAGACTCATTTGTGACAATCATTTTTGGGAGCATGAAGGTTTCTAAATTAGATTAAAACTGTCAGTTTAGGGGAGACCTTAGTCTCCTCTAATACCTTAAAGAATCTGAAACATTTTAACATTTTAATTAATTGCTGTAATCTGCTTCAACTGCAACATTCTTTTAGAGATCTCTGTTATGACCAGATGAGTTTAAAGAGAATAGAAAGATAAAAAGATTTA